TGGTTAGTTTCCTGTTCCTGTCCTGATTATGTTGATTTAATTCCAGGTGTTCCCTGTTTATTTCCATTGATCCCAGGTGTGTCTAGTCATCTCCTCGTCTTGTCATGTGTTTAAATAGTGTTCCCTGTTTTTAGTTCAGCGTCCGGTATTGTTCATGTGCTACGTGAGTTTTCCGTGTTTCCTTGATATATTAAAATTCTGTGGATTGATGTACTCCTCGTCTCCCTCCATTCCTTGCTCCTCACTCCACTCAGTAGTGCAACCGTGATAGAATACCGGACCAGACAAAATAGTAAGTGGCGCCCCTTCTCCCCATTTCCCCCCCCCATTTTGAAAGTTTTTTGCTTTCCTTGTTTTCCCTGTGGCTATGGAAATTGCTGCTCGGTTTGCCGCCTTAGCTCGCATGGATCTCCCCTTCGTTGAGTATTCCTGGGAGTTCTGCAGGCTTGCCGTAGCGACGGCCTTGGATGACTCCACTCTCAACTCACTGTTCTGGCACGGGGCCAATTACCATCGCCCCGTGGACCTCCCAGACACCACGGAACTAAGCTGGAGGGAAGGAATCCTCCGGTGTCCGGAGAGTGTCCGGCCCCGAGCCAGAACCAGCCCACCAGCTGCGGCATCCTCCAGGCTAAAGGCTCACTCGAGCCCACCGGAAGATAGGCCTGCCGGTCACCACAACAACAAGCCCGCCGGCTGCCCAGTTCCCCCGTAACCAAAGGAGGAGGATGAGGAGAAAAGGACTGTTCTCTGCCTTCATCCTAGCCCCAGAGCTCGCTCCAGTGTCGGTGCCAGCTCTTCGAAAGCGCCTTGCTGTGCCTGCTCCTCCAGAGCACCCTCCAGTGCCAGCTCCTCGTAAGCGCTTCACAGTTCCCCAGTTTAGCCCAGGGAGGGCTCCCGATCCCCAGCCAAGCCCAGGGAGGGCTCCAGTCCCCGGTTTTGGGCCTGAGAGGGCCTTGGAGCCCGTAAGGGTCCCCAAGTATTTTTTGGGGGGGGTAGTAAGACCGTAGAGGCCGGGGTAGGGGATGGGGCCGCAGCCTCGGAGGCGGCTCCGCCATGGCTTCCTGAACAGTTTGCTCCGCCATGGCCTCCCGAGCTCCATACTCCGCCATGGACCCCTGAGTTCCCTGCTCTGCAATGGCCTCCTGAACTGCCTGCTCCGCCATGGCCTCCTGAGCTCCCCGCTCCGCCATGGCACCCGGATCTGGGACCACCTTGGTGCATCCTGTCCCGTCCAAGCCTGTCCTGAGGGATCTCCAAGGTGCCCACCCTCCCACCACTTTGATGTTGTATGGCGTGAGGACGCACCTTCCGGAGGGGGGCGTCATGTCAGGCTTGTGTTGTGTTTTGTTCCCCATGTGCTCCCTGTGTCCCAGTGTTTATGCCCATATTTGGTTAGTCTCCTGTTCCTGTCCTGATTTTGTTGATTTAATTCCAGGTTTTCCTCGTTCGTTTCCATTGATCCCAGGTATGTCTAGTCATCCCCTTGTCTTGTCATGTGTTAAAATAGTGTTCCCTGTTTTTAGTTCAGCGCCCAGTATTGTTCATGTCTACATGTGCTATGTGAGTTTTCCGTGTTTCCTTGATATATTAAAATTCTCTGGATTGATGTACTCAACGTCTCCCTCCGTTCCTTGCTCCTCACTCCACTCAGTAGTGCAACTGTCACAATTATATTCGCTTTTTTATAAAAAGCTTTCCCATGTCTTATATTGCTCTGCATTTTTCCATTACTCATTTCTTTGTCGCTTTCACATAACCTATAGTACTTTTGCTCCAATAGTCATGTAAAATATATGTAAGACAGTATAAACCGCTCTAATGTCAGAAGCCCTCTGTACTGTAAAACAACAAATTCAATCAACATTAGCTGTCCTTTGTCAGCGTACTATATGAATGCGGCCTTTGTGCTCAAAGTCTCTGAAATCATTATCACTGTTGCTCTCCAGTATGACCTCCACATTTATTTTGACCCGGGCTGTTCAATAAGTCACAACCTTTCTTTTTATCTTTCTTTTATACTTCCCTCAGCCTCTCACTTCCTTTCCCGACGTGCCCTTCATACACAACGGCACGCATATACACAGGCCTCTCGCTCTGAAGGGAAATAAGAGGACCTCCACATGTCAAATCTTCATCACGGCACAGTTTGTCTCCTGCCCCCTCAGACCTCGCAAACAGCGTCGCTGTTCCTCTCACAATGCTCCAAGCTCATTGTCTCTGTCAACAGGAACAATAATGAAACTCCAAAGTCATACTACAAACTATTTATTCCGCTCGGGCACAGCCGTGTCTCTATGTTCTCAACGCTTTCAGCAAGGTGAGATGCTTTTTTATGGAAATTCATATTCCACCACTGAATAAAACATAAAAAAGGTAATTGTGACTTTGTATCTCTATATCTAGGTAATTCAGATTGTTTTCTTACAAGTGCGACTTTACATCTGAAAAATATCAGAATTGTGAGATACAGTCTTAATTCTGATTTTTTTTTCAGAAATGTGAGAAACTTACAATTATATTATACAATTCTGAGAAAAAAGTCAGAATTGAGATATAAAGTGGCAATTGCAAAAAAAGCTTATATCTTGCAATCCTTACTTTATTTTAGCAATTGCTAGTCTATATCTTGCAATTCTGAGAAAAAATGTCAGAATGGTGAGAAAAACAGACTTTTAAAATAAAACTCTAAAATAGACCTTTTCCCTTATATCTCACAATTCTGAGACAAATCAACTCAATTGTGTGAAAAATAGTTAGAAAAATAGTAATTTTTTTTATTCTGTGGTGGAAACGGCCTTCCATATTTTCCACCAACATGTAAGGAAATCCCTTTTTTCCATTGATGCATTTTGGGGGTTTCATTAAAATTGGCTTAGCAGCCTCAGAGGGAAAATATATTGTGCATAACGTAACACTGCTCACATTTGTCTTTGTAAACAGACATTAAGCCTCACAATCTGATTCCTCCCACCACTACAACATCTGATCCGAGCACCAGGGCGTAGACTTTACACCACTGAGGTGCAATATGCATATTGCATTAAAATAAGACTTAACATGTACCCAAGATTGTTGGAGAGAACAGGACGGGTGCTTAGATACAGCGCTGAAAGGCGCTCCCACGGTACAAAGGGGATGCCAAGCGCACAATATTGCATTTATCCACCGACAACGACTACTGGCATCAAAGGGACAAGCTTTTGTGAGAGTGACGGTTTGAATGCGTACCTTTCTTGAAGCACCACCCTTTAAAAGTACATTTAAATGCAATTATAACTTATATTTCAAGCTGTTGCCTCATTCTGAGAGAAGTAATGATAACTTGCATTTGGTACGCGAGTCAGAAGTTGATTCACTAACCACTCTGGGGTGCGTTTCCCCTACGACGACGAACGATGCAACAGTTGGGGAAACTAACAACTAGTCACGACTTTTTTGCAAAAGCATAGTAACATGGTCACAGCTCTATCATTTGAACAGGGCCTATGCTCGCTCGTCCAGGGGGAGCCCAAACACAAAGAAGAGATATATAATATTTTGTTATACTATGGGCTATCTACAACAATAAAAGAACCAAAACATCAGAAGACATTGAGCAAATAAATATAACCAATAGGGTAAACAATTACAAACTATTTCCATGTCTTCCATCTTTTTTATGTACAGAAAATCACACTTTCTCCGGTTCTCTCTCAGACGCGCACACACGCGGACAGAAACTTGTCGTCAACGCCGCCCCGCAAATTTATCAATAAAATAGTTTCACAGTTGAAAAGCTACATGACATTCCTTAGTAGAGAGGTTCTTGAAGCAGTTTAACTTAAAGATTCGCTATTAGTAGACGCTGCTGCTGAACACTGCTGAGAGATGCACAGAGACACAGGTATTCACACGCGCTTAATATCGCTCTCTCGCTCACTCTAATAACTGCATTAGACTGCATTAATAACTGCATTAGCCTGCATATCAATGGCTCAAGACTCTGTTATTAGCTCTAAAATTACGTTTTGGAATTTTCAATGGAAGGTTTGTGATGAAGTGCGTAAAAATAGTTCAACACATTTCAGGATGGAAACATGTCAAATGTCTTGAAACAAATCATCTGAACAATGTCTTGATGTGTGGTTGTGACTCCTGGCCGTTAAAATTATTAACGGGCTTGAGAATGGCGCGGCCGGCGGATTCGGCGAAGGAGCGGCAACCACTGGACTCCGCTTCGTCCACGGTGAAAGCCGATCCAGCGATCCACAGCACTAAGTTGATGTATTCCCTCAGCGACCAGCACAGATCAGCTCTAGGCATGACGAAGCGGATATCGTCCTCTTTTGGAAGACCAAACAAACTAGTTTCGCTTTCACAACGAAACACACAGCGCTTCACGACATGGCGGCGGCAACAATACTACAGCGAGAATAAAAGCTATGCCTTCTTTCTTTGCGTGAACATTTGGGCGGCGTTATGCAAATCTTCCCACATAGTGAGGTAGATATGTGGGGGCGTGTTAGAACGAGCTGTTTTAGGTAGGCGTGGTTAATTCTTAACTTTTATAAAGAATATCTCTTAGGATTTGAGACTTTAGTCTTTTAGTCTTTACAGATCTTCTTTATGCACCAAGAGCTTGTAACACTCCAAAGAGAAAGATTGAAGAAAAATTGAAATCGCGAAATCGCAACCCTTTAAACATATTTTATTAGCCTACATGACACCCATGTCTGGTTCTTGGCTAAAAAGACAGGTTTATGGTGTTCGTAGTTAATAGATTTGACTGCTTTTATCCTTACCCTGCAGTTGGTTAAGCCTCCGCCTATGTTAACAATCATAATCATGCTTTACATTTTGTTCAATTCAGACTGCAAATTCACATTCAGAACTCAAATACATTTCTTTTGCCATGACGCTGAAGATTCGTGATGGCATAGATTCTCCACGACTGAAAAGTGATGCAGTACAAAGCTGAAAAATCTACTGTACAAAGCACATGAATCCCTTTAAAGGTACTTTACCATGCTTTCTGCAGCTTAGCATTATAAACCAACATCTGAATGGAAAACAGCTTGTCGGACATTATGCTTGCATCTCCTGTTGTGTTTCACTGAAATCAGAAAATAATTGTTGAAATGACATCAGTATAAACTGATTCATTTGATCAAATATTTAAACATGGGTTGTGAGAAATACGTTTTACATCAGTGTTGACAAAACAGGAATAATGTGAACAAGATGTGCTGACGATAATGATGCTGTTATTAATAATTCCATCTAACCAGAGCACATTACCCTGCACAAAACAATGGCAGGCATATCGCATTAAAGGAGCAGCATCTAGTGCCCCCAAGACGTTTCCATTCTCAACATTTTATTACCACTTGTTTATCGCAGGATTACGTGCCTTTGTGAAAATCCATAGCAGGTTATTGCAAACACCTGGGATTTAATCAACTTCATTTGAAGTAATTTCCCTTTTTGCATTCAGCCATTAGAGAGTAACTGGGTAAATTCTGTGTTACCATGGAGGAGACGTAAACAAAGTTACAGGACTCCTTTAAAAACTAAAAAATGAACGCAGACTAATGAACAACATTGAAACAAACATTTTGTTAAACTATTTCCTGATTTATGTTCCTTCCTGACTGAGTGAAGCAGACAAATAACGAGCCTAAAAATGTCTAGATAACTAGATCATGCCTAAAAATGTGTGAGCCTTGAAGCTGTGAAATTTTATTAATATTTAATTGTTTTGGAGGCGTGTCTGAATCTCCATCATGATGACTTAAGTATAGGATTCAGTCAAACTCCCCTCATCACTTTGATGGAAAGTTTGCTGAAAGAATAAAAAGCTTGTTACTTACTAAAATGGTCCATCAAAACGATGGCAGTTTAGTGCTTTATAGCAGAAATCTGACAGCATATTGGCGTCACTCAACTTCGGCAGGCCCATCAAAACAGCCGATCGGGTTTCGCTCTTAACTGGCACTGACATGACATACATGATTTTTCTGAATTGTGACAGTCCTGCAGGAGTGCAGACATTTCCTCTGACAGCTAAATTACAACGTGGCAAGTCGGGCTGAATGTGTCTCATCTGCCGCTTCTCTCTCTCTCTCTCTCTCTCTCTCTCTCTCTCGCAGCCCTGAAATAACAGCCAGCAGCGCTCCTCGTTATCGGGAGTGAAAAGGGTGATATTTTCTGTGGAGGAGTTCATAAAATCACTGTGGTGATAGAAAGTCCGAAATACGGTATGGAAAGTAAAGGTGGAATTAAAAAGTTGCCAGGACAAAACGTGAAGCATCATTTTTAGCATATAAACCGCTAATTATACTGCTTGCAAGGCAGCACTTAAATGACATATAGGTAGGGTGACCATAGGGGCCATTTTTACGGGACACACCCTTGCCAGGATTTCTATATTGCCAAAAATATCCAGGTTTTGGCTGTTTGCACTGTGCAGATCGATCGTTTTATGACATTCACAGAGCTATAAGACCACAGGACAAGACCACAGGAACCAGATGAGTCCTCTGCACAATGTGACTTTGCTGCAGCCTGGAATTGAACTGCTGGTTTCGTCTGGTCAGAGGAGAACTGGCCCCCCGACTGAGCCTGGTTTCTCCCAAGGTTTTTTCTCCATTCTGTCACCGATGGAGTTTTGGTTCCTTGCCGCTGTCGCCTCTGGCTTGCTTAGTTGGGGACACTTCATTTCCAGCGATATCGTTGACATGATTGCAAAGATATTATTTAAACTGAGCTGGATGTTGACATCACTGAATTCAATGATGAACTGTCTTTAACTGAAAAATGAGTGTTTACTATTGTAATTTTGCATTATTGACACTATTTTCCTAATTAATGCTGTGCAGTTGCTTTGTCACAATCTGTATTGTTAAAAGCGCTATATAAATAAAGGTGACTTGACTTGACTTGACATCTAAAAAAAAATTTGAATATCATGAAAAAGGTCAATATTTTTTGTCACTCATTTCAGAAAGTGAAACCCATATATTATATAGATTCATTACACATAGAGTGACATATTTCAAGCCTTTATTTCTTGAAATGTTGATGATTATGGCTTACAGATCATGAAAACCCAAAATTCAGTATTGAAAAACCCTAATCAGCTAATTACCTCAAAACACCTGCAAAGGTTTCCTGAGCCTTTAAATGGTCTCTCAATCTGGGTCAGTAGGCTACACAATCATGGGGAAGACTGCTGACTTGACAAATGTCCAGAAGACAGTCATTGACACCCTCCACAAGGAGGGTAAGCCACAAACGTTCATTGCTAAAGAAGCTGGTTGTTCACAGAGTGCTGTATCCAAGCATATTCATAGAAAGTTGAGTGGAAGGAAAAAGTGTGGTAGGAAAAGGTCCACCAGCAAGAACTTGGGGGATCTTCTCTGAGCAAATAAATATAACCAATAGGGTAAACAATTACAAACTATTTCCATGTCTTCCATCTTTTTTATGTACAGAAAATCACACTTTCTCCGGTTCTCTCTCAGACGCGCACACACGCGGACAGAAACTTGTCGTCAACGCCGCCCCGCAAATTTATCAATAAAATAGTTTCACAGTTGAAAAGCTACATGACATTCCTTAGTAGAGAGGTTCTTGAAGCAGTTTAACTTAAAGATTCGCTATTAGTAGACGCTGCTGCTGAACACTGCTGAGAGATGCACAGAGACACAGGTATTCACACGCGCTTAATATCGCTCTCTCGCTCACTCTAATAACTGCATTAGACTGCATTAATAACTGCATTAGCCTGCATATCAATGGCTCAAGACTCTGTTATTAGCTCTAAAATTACGTTTTGGAATTTTCAATGGAAGGTTTGTGATGAAGTGCGTAAAAATAGTTCAACACATTTCAGGATGGAAACATGTCAAATGTCTTGAAACAAATCATCTGAACAATGTCTTGATGTGTGGTTGTGACTCCTGGCCGTTAAAATTATTAACGGGCTTGAGAATGGCGCGGCCGGCGGATTCGGCGAAGGAGCGGCAACCACTGGACTCCGCTTCGTCCACGGTGAAAGCCGATCCAGCGATCCACAGCACTAAGTTGATGTATTCCCTCAGCGACCAGCACAGATCAGCTCTAGGCATGACGAAGCGGATATCGTCCTCTTTTGGAGAAAAATTGAAATCGCATCATATGAACCCTTTAAACATATTTTATTAGCCTACATGACACCCATGTCTGGTTCTTGGCTAAAAAGACAGGTTTATGGTGTTCGTAGTTAATAGATTTGACTGCTTTTATCCTTACCCTGCAGTTGGTTAAGCCTCCGCCTATGTTAACAATCATAATCATGCTTTACATTTTGTTCAATTCAGACTGCAAATTCACATTCAGAACTCAAATACATTTCTTTTGCCATGACGCTGAAGATTCGTGATGGCATAGATTCTCCACGACTGAAAAGTGATGCAGTACAAAGCTGAAAAATCTACTGTACAAAGCACATGAATCCCTTTAAAGGTACTTTACCATGCTTTCTGCAGCTTAGCATTATAAACCAACATCTGAATGGAAAACAGCTTGTCGGACATTATGCTTGCATCTCCTGTTGTGTTTCACTGAAATCAGAAAATAATTGTTGAAATGACATCAGTATAAACTGATTCATTTGATCAAATATTTAAACATGGGTTGTGAGAAATACGTTTTACATCAGTGTTGACAAAACATGAATAATGTGAACAAGATGTGCTGACGATAATGATGCTGTTATTAATAATTCCATCTAACCAGAGCACATTACCCTGCACAAAACAATGGCAGGCATATCGCATTAAAGGAGCAGCATCTAGTGCCCCCAAGACGTTTCCATTCTCAACATTTTATTACCACTTGTTTATCGCAGGATTACGTGCCTTTGTGAAAATCCATAGCAGGTTATTGCAAACACCTGGGATTTAATCAACTTCATTTGAAGTAATTTCCCTTTTTGCATTCAGCCATTAGAGAGTAACTGGGTAAATTCTGTGTTACCATGGAGGAGACGTAAACAAAGTTACAGGACTCCTTTAAAAACTAAAAAATGAACGCAGACTAATGAACAACATTGAAACAAACATTTTGTTAAACTATTTCCTGATTTATGTTCCTTCCTGACTGAGTGAAGCAGACAAATAACGAGCCTAAAAATGTCTAGATAACTAGATCATGCCTAAAAATGTGTGAGCCTTGAAGCTGTGAAATTTTATTAATATTTAATTGTTTTGGAGGCGTGTCTGAATCTCCATCATGATGACTTAAGTATAGGATTCAGTCAAACTCCCCTCATCACTTTGATGGAAAGTTTGCTGAAAGAATAAAAAGCTTGTTACTTACTAAAATGGTCCATCAAAACGATGGCAGTTTAGTGCTTTATAGCAGAAATCTGACAGCATATTGGCGTCACTCAACTTCGGCAGGCCCATCAAAACAGCCGATCGGGTTTCGCTCTTAACTGGCACTGACATGACATACATGATTTTTCTGAATTGTGACAGTCCTGCAGGAGTGCAGACATTTCCTCTGACAGCTAAATTACAACGTGGCAAGTCGGGCTGAATGTGTCTCATCTGCCGCTTCTCTCTCTCTCTCTCTCTCTCTCTCTCTCTCGCAGCCCTGAAATAACAGCCAGCAGCGCTCCTCGTTATCGGGAGTGAAAAGGGTGATATTTTCTGTGGAGGAGTTCATAAAATCACTGTGGTGATAGAAAGTCCGAAATACGGTATGGAAAGTAAAGGTGGAATTAAAAAGTTGCCAGGACAAAACGTGAAGCATCATTTTTAGCATATAAACCGCTAATTATACTGCTTGCAAGGCAGCACTTAAATGACATATAGGTAGGGTGACCATAGGGGCCATTTTTACGGGACACACCCTTGCCAGGATTTCTATATTGCCAAAAATATCCAGGTTTTGGCTGTTTGCACTGTGCAGATCGATCGTTTTATGACATTCACAGAGCTATAAGACCACAGGACAAGACCACAGGAACCAGATGAGTCCTCTGCACAATGTGACTTTGCTGCAGCCTGGAATTGAACTGCTGGTTTCGTCTGGTCAGAGGAGAACTGGCCCCCCGACTGAGCCTGGTTTCTCCCAAGGTTTTTTCTCCATTCTGTCACCGATGGAGTTTTGGTTCCTTGCCGCTGTCGCCTCTGGCTTGCTTAGTTGGGGACACTTCATTTCCAGCGATATCGTTGACTTGATTGCAAATGATTGCAAAGATACTATTTAAACTGAACTGAGCTGGATGATGACATCACTGAATTCAATGATGTTTGAAAGAAAATTTGTGTTAACTATTGTCATTTTGCAGTATTGACACACTATTTTCCTAATTAATGCTGTTCAGTTGCTTTGACACAATCTGTATTGTTAAAAGCGCTATATAAATAAAGGTGACTTGACTTGACTATAGATAGCAGAGCAGACGGCTCCTTATGATTTCGAATAGCTCTCGCGGTACTCTGGTGTCATTTAATGATCGGACGAAGTCAAGCGAACGAACAAGCACGCACGCATATTTGCATCGCTTTGATCGTTCTCTGTAGATCTCACCTTCTCATGCGCCACGATTGGTCGATTATATACACAATACCTGCATGCTATTGGTCAAACTACTTTGGATGTTTTAGGCAATATAAAAATCCTGGTCAGGACATGTCCCGCATGAACGGCACATACGGCCACCCTACATATAGGGTTTGTTCTGAACCCTTAACTCTTAAGCATTAAACTTCTGCTATTTTCAGTTCAGCCCATACTACACTGGAAACAATGGTGTAGAGATAATTTTAACTCAGAAATTGCTAGTAAATTTCACAATTATCATGCGCCACGATTGGTCGATTATATACACAATACCTGCATGCTATTGGTCAAACTACTTTGGATGTTTTAGGCAATATAAAAATCCTGGTCAGGACATGTCCCGCATGAACGGCACATACGGCCACCCTACATATAGGGTTTGTTCTGAACCCTTAACTCTTAAGCATTAAACTTCTGCTATTTTCAGTTCAGCCCATACTACACTGGAAACAATGGTGTAGAGATAATTTTAACTCAGAAATTGC